GTGTTTTCGCATTTCAGGCTTTACAAACAAATGTTGGTGATTTTCGAGCCTGGTGGCATTTCGTCAACGTCGGATGCTAAAACACTTCCAGGCTCGAAAATCCCCAAAGTTTTGCAAAACTAAACACCCAAGGCCCCATAGATGCCATGATTTTGGGGATTGTTGATCCCTGCCGATGTTTTCGCATTTCAGGCTTTACAAATTGTGGGGATTTGCGAGCCAGGCGGCATTTGCTAACCTTGGATGCTGTGTTCCTATTATGTCTTAGTTTGTCACATGTATACACATGGCACATGCTTTGTTTTCATGCCATGTCAAAGTGCGGTATGTTCCACGACATATCCGTCACACTTCTCTCCCGAGTGAAAGGCATCGTTTGTGTCCCTCCTTTCCTCTTTTCCAACATGATCCGCGACGGGGGTGACGTATCCTTGCAAGATGCTCTCGATGCCACCAATTCCTTGAGATATTGTAACTAAACACACCACACCCGACGACAATCTGTAAAGTGAAGCATTTGCAGTTGATATACAACATGTACTTTGACATGCCATGTACTGAGGACGCGTGCACCAGACGTGCGGCACATGAGTTACGTAAAAGTTTTGTGGAAGTATCGATATTAGGATGAGTATTGTTATTAATATTAGTACTAGTGTTTGCTGTAACTATACATGTCAATATTAGTAAATAAAAAATTAGTGCCAGTGCTCATGCTCGTGTTAGAGTTAGTGCTAGTGCCAGTGTCAATGTCAGTAATACAGCACCACTGCTAGTATCAGTGTCAGTCTTAATGCTGGGTTTAATCGCAGCTGATATTCGCAGAAGTGCTAGTATTATTGTCAATATTAGAACTAGTTTTGATATGTTAGTATATTGATAGTTTCGTATAGTAGCAGACTAGTATATCAATACATTAATGTATTCGAACAGTAACATATTTGTATACTTCTATACTAGTATATTTGATATGTTAGTACAACTGGTGCATGAGTACTCTACTATATTGGTGTATTAGTTTACTAGTATGTGTACTATATTCATGCATTGTCTAGTCATATTTACAAGTGTATCAGTATGTTGGTATATTAGTCTACTAATTTGTCATGTCGGTATACTTGCATATTGCAGTAGTCGTATATTAGTATACTCGCATATTAGTATAGTATATTCATACAAGCACGAGAAGTATATTGTTACATTGGAAAAGATAGTGTGTTGTAGCATGTACGTGGGAGACTAAGGGCATCTTTAGGATATGCTGTGACGTGTAACCGCGCAGTTGCATTCTCCTCCGGACCCATGTGTTACCTGCCATGCAGTCGCCAGACTCGCCATGCGGGGGCCAAAAAATATTGTTACATTGGTATATGGGTATATGTTTATGCCACAACATTAGTACATGAATGCACTAATGTATATATCTGTATCTTAAGATAGTGGTATGTAATTTTATGTACATTAGTATATGCACGTGTCTAGTCGTAAAAAGATTAGTATTCATATTAATACGAATATACTATTGGGATTCGTAGGAGTATTAATGTTGATATTAGAGTTAGGACTATTCATAGTCGTATTAGCTATAATATAAGTGTTCATGCTGGTAATAGTACTGGCATTCTTGAATATTCATCAGATTATCAATATCCGTATCAGTGTTGGTGATAGCATTACTGTTAACACCACAAAAGTTTATGTATTCGTACTCGTAGGAGTATCAATACTATTGCAAATACTGATGTTAGTATGAATATTGTGATAAGGATTAGTATTAGTGTTAGCGTTAGTACTATAATATTATGAACACACTTGAAGTATGTGTCACGCTTTCCAGGCAACCAGGCAATGACCAGGAAGATTCGAAGCTGCCAGTTTGAGTATTGGCATCGGCACCAAAACATGTGGACAGTGACAGTGAAACATGGAGTGCCGGGTTTTGGATGGAAAAGCGGAGCCCGAAAGTGAAATCAGAATCCGTTTCGGGTTTCGTAGGGATATAATAACGTGTGAGAACAAATGATAAAATGTAGAGTTAAGTAGATGTTAGGTGCAGAAAATAACGCAAGTACCGATGATTTTGTATGTAGCTGAAGTCATGTAGATATCGAAGCATGGGCAGCAGCAGGTACAAAAAAGCATGGTATGGATCATGGGGGGGGGGGGTGACCATGTATATATATATATATATATGTATGTATATTATGTCTAAAATTAGATATGCATATATATATATATAATGTACGTGTGTGTGTGTGTGTGCTTGTGTGCATTTGTGGTTAATGCGTATCTTTCCACTTCGTGCCATACTGCTGATTTTCGGTATGGGAAAACGACCGCTTACGTGTGGTTTCCCAGACAGGAGCGCGAGTGCCGGGCCCACCAGCAGGAGCGCCGCCAGGCTCGCCAGAACCACTCGTCAAGGGACACAGGGGTTCATTGAGCCTAAGCACGAGAGGGTGTCATTCAAAGGTTCCAGATTCCGGAGACTTTGAATAGAATACGGTCAGGGATCTTCGAGCGTAGCACATCTTCCTGACGGTGGCTATGAACCCGCCAGTAAGGACACCTTATCCAATGAATTAGTACGTGAGGGATAGAAAGTCAGCGTGGTTTTGGTTCCTCCTTCAGAATTCACTGATACCGTGTGATTTCAATACGATTTGGAGACGCTTTTGGGGGTTGGATCGGTGTACCGGGTCATCCTTCAGATATAGGAACCGAAACGGTTTAAGAGACATGTTATGGATACGGTTTGCGTACACCTCGGAATACGGGCCAAGATACGAGTTCCGCTGTACGGGTTTGGATACGATTTCCCTTCCCACGATAGCCTCTTTAGTGGTCCTCCGCAAGGAAAAACACCAGTTCCGATATAGGTTTGGATACCATCCAGCGCACGATCGCCAGCTCGAAGAGGTCCCCTCCCCAAGGACACCGATGCGGTCCGGATACGATTTCCCTGTCTAGCCCACGATCCCCCGGTCGAGAGGCCCGGAAGCGTATTTGGTGAAACCGTGTTGAAATCTATACTGAAAACCGTGATGAAATGGTATTGGAAACCGTATCGAAATCATACTGAGTTCGTATTGCGTCTGGACGAGATATGACGGAATCGTATTTGCCGCCGTGTCAAAATCGTATCCGGATGGTATCAGAATCGTATCTTCCTGTTTAGAGTAGAATGTGCTATTAATACCCGGTACCATAGTCTAAAGAGCATACCTTCAAGTCATATTGGGGTTCAACGAATGAATACAGGGTTGCTTGCCATGATCTGACCCAGACTCAACGTCCTGGAGGCTCGTGCAGCACTCCACCTCCTCCACTAAAAGAAAGAAACCTCGCAGGTGCCCCCCCATGTTCATTCGATATTAACCAGCATCCCCACTTGAACGACACAGACTGGCCACAGACATTGTTGTTCCTTCGCTCTCTGTCTGCCTGCCGGCCTGTCGGCCTGTTTGTCTTTGTGTCAGCTTGTATGCACCCGTTGGCTGCGAAAAAGTTGAGTGCCGGAAAGAGAAATCAAAGCACAAAATCATGCATGGTTGGCAGCCGTAACTGTAACATTTCGTGTGTTTGTTGTTGTGCGCGTTTGCCGTGCGCTGCGTGGGGCGCATGCCTAGTCATCTGCGAACCAGGTGTGGCGGTATCCGAGCCACAGCCCGGAGGACATCTGCGTCCTGGAGGCGGTAGAGCCCCCGACCGGCTACAGAGGCTCAGCGAAGTTTCCTCTCATGTTTCACGATATTCAAGACACGTGTGAAGCCACGTGAATAAGAAACATTGCCAGCAGGCCTTCTGCCAGTCAATGCCATCCTGCTCAGCCGTGACGGGGCGTTGAACACCCGTCTGGCCGGTGGCTGCTTGGTGTGCATCAGTGTTGCCTGTGTTCAAAATAGACATGCCAGGCTGTTCTTGGTCACGCGAGGTGATTTGGACGGCGACGAGGACGCTTGGTGTCTGTGGCTTACAACGATGTGCTTCCACGCTGTTCTGCAGACGATGGTCCAGGGATGATCACTGCTGTAAGGTTTGCTCGAGTGTCTTGTCGACTTCGTGGAGAAGTCGCAGAGCTTCGTGGACGAGAAGCCTTTCAAGGTTTGGGCTTCAAGCAGGGCTGTCTGAAAGTGAGTTCTAAGTTCTCGGCGAGTGGAGTCAGCGTCTGGATGATGGAGGTCATAAAGAAAGAGGCACTGGGGGGGCTTCGCTCCGTGGAGACGGGGTGGTGCATGTCCAAGGAGCACAGTCGCCTAGCCGCAGTGTGCTGGTCGGGTGTGACTCGGTGTGGTTCAATCTGTGCGTCTGTGTGCTTCTATTTCTTCAATGCCTGAGGCGACGATTTTGTCGACTTCGTTCTGCAGCTCGATAACCCCCATGTTCGAGGCATCGTCGCCAACGCCAGTGGCAGCGCGACAGGCGCGTTGGGAACCTGGTGTTGGGGCCAGCCCAACAGGGAAAGACTTCTACTCACTTCCCAACAATAAACCTAACAAACTGCGTCAAGGCCCCCCCCCAAAAAAAAAAAGTCTAACAAGTTTAGAAATTTTATTTTTCGGATGGGGTTTGCAATGATGAATGGGGGGGAGCTGGCGTATTGCCAAGTGGCAAGGGTGTTTATGCAAGTAGTGCAAGTAGTAAAAAAAACAAAAAAAGAATCGGGTTATTTTTGGGTGCGAAGCTCTTTATGATAGCCGCCCCATTCTTAACGCCGATCGAACGTCTGAAGGTTTTGGGGCTGTGCGCTTGCTAGCAAGCAAAGGCGGCAAGGTTTTCTTACCGTTTATGAATGGCAGGTCAGCATTGACGTGACGAGGTGTCTGTCATCTAAAAATCCCTGTCCCTGTGAGAGGTCTGGCCGTCGAAAAGGGCGACAAGGATTCGTTGGAGAGGGCTCTGATTGTGGCCACGCTCGCGCATGCTGCGTCTCGGACGAACACAGTTGTTGCGGCGTGTTGAGCGTTGTACGTCCGACTGCGTGCTGTGTGCGGCAGGCCATGGATACGCCGAAGACGTATCCGGCGAAGGACTTCTTGCCGTACTGCCAGAAGATCTGCGGCAAGTTCTCGGTGCCATGCGACGCTGAGTTGTCCTCCGTCATGGCTGCACGGTCCTCATGTGGCGCTCTGATTTTCTGCTTGCTGGTTCCTTGCTGCGGGGTCAGGCCAAAGTCATGTTGGACGGCTGGGATTTCGACAGCGCATGGAAGCTCCCGGGAAGGGGGAACAGAGACCAGGCCTTGAAGCATTGCGTCACTTGACAGCATTGTAGAGACTGTCGTGTGGACATGAATGTAGTCTTGGGGCAACTGATTATAGCAGCTTATTGCAGTTTGCAGGGCTGCTGAGTCCTGACCTTGCATTTAGGTGGAGAACATGCCGGGCGAGGCGCTCTTGGGCCAAGTGTGGTTCCCAAAGGGACTTGATGTTGAAGCCTCAGACTTTCCAAATGTCGTCTCATGATTTGGATCATGTGGGTTGTTTTTGGTGGATGTTTTCTCAGGTGGTCACGCTGGGGCCTGGTGCAGCCGCCCATGTCCACGCCGTGCTCCGCAACTGTCGAGAGCGCAGGTCAGACACAAAGTGGCTTCTTGCTACCGCGGTGATGTGGCTGCTAGTCGCAGGACGGCTGGCGAACACTGCCTCTTGGACGAGCTCGCCTATCTCGTCGGAACGCAGGCTAAGGTCACCGGTGCGACGATCTTGGCGGTCGACTTTGCCGAGGCGTGGCTGCTCCCGACTCAGAATGCTAATCTGGTGGTGCGTCTTTTTCCAGGCCTGGAAGAAGACAAAACTGGGTGGCCACGGCCACGCATGCCTCGACTCTTTCTGCAAGACCGCTACCAACTTACACTCAGCACCTACGTCGTAGCATCACGGCGCGTGCAGGAGCTCGGAGTTCTGAGCCGTTTAGGTTTCACTCCCAGTGCGCTTTCTGCCGGGCCCCACTCCGAGTTGGAGCTAGATAGAATGCCTGGAAGGGCTTGGTGCGGCCTTCAGCGTCCGACTGGCTTCTGGGCAGCATGTGCTTCCGTGGCGGCTGAGCACCCGTTAGCTGAACCCTGAGAGTGATGAGGAAGTGGTGCTGTCCTGGATGGCACCGCCAGGCTGCACCACTTTCGGTGCAGCCCTGGACGCGGCGGGGGGATGCGGTGGTGCGATCGTGGATGAATCCGCGGGCCAGATCCTCTACCTTGGCATCGGCCACCACCGGGGCCACGGTCTCGCGAGAGACTTGGTCCGTGCCGCAGAGGCGACGCTGTCCGGCTTCGGGCACACGGTGTTCACCATCGTGCCGCTGCAGCATGTGCTCCTTACTTGGGCCCCCTAGAGGGTTGTGTTCGGTCACACCCAGACAACAATGCTGAATCAATACAGTATACATATATATATATATATATATATATATATATATATATATATGTATGTATGTGTGTATATGTATATGCATATGTATATGCATATGCTTATGCATATGGATATGGATATGTATACGTATTTGTATATGTATATGTATATGTATATTTATATGTGTATGTATATGTACATATATATATACATATCCCATCAACTGCGCCGGGGGAGAGCACGGAACAACAAGCATCACACAAGTCAAGGAGTGTAAATCCACTGTGGCGTACCCGCGCACGGACACATAGCGCAGGAACAACAACAGGCATCACACAATTAATTTTAGACAGGGACATGGAAGCAGCTCGTTTCTTGTATTTTCACCAACAGTAGCTTGACGAACAAAGAGAAATTTCACTGGTGACGTGTTGCTCTTGGGCTGTTGCTATCAATCAGATACCTGACGAGCAGCATGCACGCGAAAAGCAGGTACCAGTTCATGTTGCAGCAGGTTGTATATGTCACAAGTTTATCAGGAGGTGATCAGGGTGTCTGAACGGTCCGATGTGGCAGACGTGGGAGCCAAGGTGCCCAAGGACGGGCAAGCGCGAGCCTTCTGGTTTGCCCTGGGCTATTTGGGCTGATGGTGGGACCACGTCCACCATGCGGAAGGAGGCCGCCAAAGCTTTTTTGCCCTCTCGCCGGACGGGTCCCACACTTCGCCGGGGCCATGGCCAAGTCGCAACTCGTCTGGCAACCTATGTATTGAGCATGGGTCTAACTGTTGCAAGCGCAAGACGCTTCCGCGTGCAAGGAGTTGGCTTCACGGTGCAAACTTGCCATGAACCGATATACCCTTTTGCTCTGTGAACCACCTGCGCTTGATCCTCAGGCAATCAGTGGCAAGGGCCGATTGCTTGGAGGCCCCCCTTTCCCCTGCAAGGCGCGTGCAGTGACCAGCAACTTGGCCGGATTCCGTTCCTGGTGGTGCCAGCCAGTCCCAGCTTGAACATTAAATTTGATCCGGGGATGTCTGGAGGTACCACGGAGTCCTTCGCAGCTTCACGCCCCGATGGGTCCGTGGTTACTTGGGGAGGCCATCCGGGGCCAGAGCTGAAGAGTATCTTCAGCATTTGCGCCACCGAAACCACGTTCGCGGCTCTTCGATCCTCGGTTTTCTCTTACTGTGTAGTGTGATGTAGTGTGCATGGTCGGTATGGTCCAGATCTGCTTGAAATAAATAGACTGACCGTGAGTTCTTGTGGTAATTACAAGGCGATGATGGCACCGTCATCGTGTGGAGCTGCGGTGAAGAGGGCAGGGTCGGCCTCGAGCACCCGGCGCTGGACGTCCGAGCTGATGACTTTGCTTTCTACATTACGGACGTCTACGGGCAGGCCGGAGCGCTGCACTTCTCATGTCTTTTGTTGGGGAGCTGTTTGAACGAACCAACTTCGAAACAGTCCTAGGAAGCCGATTCAATGGCAATGGGGAAGGTCGCTAACACGAAGCCCATGAACAGACAACGGTCATGAGTGATCCCGAAGCCGCCGCACGTGGTATCTTCCCAACTGGCTGATCAAACCCCTGCGACATGCATCACTTGAGCCCAGCCGAAGTGCTCACATCCGACCGCAACCTGCCGAAACATGATTTTTCTGCACATTGGCTTTGGAATCCCTGAAATCAGCTCAACGTCCTTCTCCACGCCACCTGCGTTGCGGCGCTATCTTCGGTCCTCTACCGCAAGGACTGGGGCGACGTTTGCGGCTCTGCACCCCGGATTTTCAACCGAGCAGGTACCGCTTGTTGCCGGCCCAGCCTTTGTGGTGGAGTCAGCTTTAGGATGAGCACTGTATTCCACAGTCTGCCGTCGTTCTGTGCAACCAAGGTCCAGAGCAACAATTGGTACGAGGAAACACGGACTGCGAGGCATCCGGAGCAGTCAGAACTCTGCACCTTTGTGGGCTGCTATTTTGTTTTAGGGCTGAGGGCTTAGGGTTCTGCATTCGGACAAAATTAAGGGTGTGAAGTTCGATGATGCAGGAAGATCTCTGAGCTCGCAGATGCCGCTCAGAATGACTGCATCGGTGCGGCTGCTGCTTTCGCCCGGGTGGTCTGCGACATTCACTGCGTGAAGGCGGTGAGCTGCATGCTGCCCTAACGCCTAAAACCTGACATCCCAAAGCCTTGATCTATGAGCCCTGAAGATCGCAAAACCCGAAGCCTAACATCGCGAAGCCTCAAAGCCCTGAAGCCCTAAACCCAAGCCCATGCCCTATCTCGGAGGATGCCATCCGAAGTGGCAATGTGGCGGTGCACCAGTCCTTAGAGCAGGCCGTTGCGGTGCTCAACAGGAGCCTCGGAAGAGATGTTTGGGTAAGATCTATCTGTCTGTCTGTCCGTCTATCTATCTTCTATGTACAAACAAACAGGCACAGAAACATATGTGAGTATACTTTGCCGACATGCGTCTGCACGCTCAAGCAACCCCACTGGCACATAATGGCACCATTCAAAGCAATTTTCCAGCGATACAAGGGTGACGTCTGGGGTCACTTGAGCCTTTCAGAATGTGGAGCAAATCTCTTTCCAGTCGATTCCATCGACCGTGCTCGAGAACGGTCTTCGCACGCTGCCTCAGACGTCATTCTCCATGCCACATCACGGCAAGCCTGGATAGAGTCCTGGATAGAGGGGGTTCGTCGCCAGCGTGACCGTCCTTCACTTTGGCACTTCAGGGACGACTTGCGAGCTACCTCTAATCCCCGCGAAGCATACGTACAGGGAACTCCAGAAAGTTGGAATATGGATTCATGGTAGGATACCCTATAATTTACCATAGAAGGGTTAGGATAATCATATTCCAACTTTCTGGTTTTTACGTTATGCGAGTATGTACATAGGTACGTATGTATGCATGTCTGTATATAGTTATGTACATATATATAGAGATAGAGACAACGTGTGTGTGTGTATGTATGTATGTATGTATGTATATATATATATATATATATATGTTTATGTATGTATGATGCATACATAATATATATATATATATATATATTTATATTTATATTTATATTTATATTTATTTATTTATATATTTATTTATATATTTATATATATTTATATATATATATATACATATATATATATGTGTGTATATATATGTATGTGGGTGTGTATGCATTTATCACATGTAAGCACAAACATACATGAAACTTGCTGTTGGCATATTCGGGCAACCCTGAGACTTCATGAGCCAACGTGGTTTGGAGGTCTCCTCCTGTTGCATGCAGGGTTGCATGGAGGGTAGCACGATTTGGGTGTAGCCGATGCAAGGGATGAATTGATGGTTAAGTCTCTCGCGCTCACCTTGTAAAGCAGGGTGCAGTCTCTGCCAACTAGCCTCTTGACAAAGTCGTCTATAGGGTCTTGGTTGCACTGGAGCCGAAGGCTCATGTGGACCGACGGGTAGAATATGGTAGAATGCAGTAAGTCAGGAACTTCGAAAGCTGAGCGCAGAGCTTGGCATGAACCACGAACCCTGTTTAAACAGAGCCCACTATCAAAGCTTCATCGAGGAGGGATGACAGCACCGCTTGGCTGCTTAGGGAGCTCAACAGCACATGGTGGCAGCTGAGGGCGGCTTTCGATAAGTACCTGACGCAAGCCAAGAGCTATTCACTGGCCTTTTCCGATGCGGCCGCTGGCCATGATTACTTGGTGCGATCGCGATGCCCATTATGTTGAGTTGTTGCCCCTTTTTTGCTTTTTCTACTAGCACTGGGTTCAGGAATGTCGTTTGAGCTTGAGCCTCTTGGAGAAACCCCGAAGTCAGAGCAAACCAGGTGAAACTCCTCCAGTCGTACATCTCTTGCTCAACCCAGTTTGTGGATCTACGCGCAGGCTGGGAAGAAAATAGGTAGTGGAGGAATTGAAGCCAGCGGGCCTGCATTCCTACATGCATCTACTACGGCCAAACCTTTGTTGTTGTTACTGCTGCTGCCACTCTCCGGCCGCATCCCGGAAAGTTTCAATTTTCAACACAGCCTGCTTCCACCCTGAAAACTTCTGACGGATGCTAGGCAGGCAGCAATGCTAGGTGCCAGATGTGCCAGTTTCTGCCCATTCAAGGTCAAGCGCATGCTTAGCGAGGCAACAACGCCAAACCTGAAGACCCCCCACCAGCGATCTTGGTTTTCACATCTTTCAAAGCAGGCGTCGGCGCCTTTCAGAAGGTGGAGGCACTCCACGAGGAGGTGCTGCAAGAAGCTCGGCGTATATGCACCCTTACCTTCAGAGTGGGCTCTCTGTGTCTGACCATCTTGGCATGTGAAGTTGCTTCGAAGAGCACAGAGTCTCGGCGTGGGGCTACAAGTGTGCCGGGAGACTTTGTCGGCGGTTTCAATAAATCTGGACCCGAATACAGACATTGACAGCACAGAAAGATCGCTCAGATAAAGTATCGCAGCCCAGGAGGCTTGGTCAGCTATGATACCTCTGGCAGGCCCGATGAGCACATACGTGGGTTTGGAGTCTCCGAGGCTTTTGCGGAGTTTCGCTTTCTGTGGTCCTGAAGCTTTATGTCATCTTGAATCTGTGTCCTCCAGCCGTCCCGGCGCGCAAGAGGGCATTAATGTCTGCAAGCCCCAGGTGCCTGGAAGTGGCAGAGAGAGAGAGAGAGAGAGTAGCAAACAATTGCTAAGCCCTACACTCTGGCAGAAGGAGCAGCATGCACGACAAGAATGATATAATGGCAGTGTTCGTGTGGTATGTTGCCATCGCTGTCTACCTGTGGCTCGTTCGAATACTCCTGCAATTTACTGTCGGTTACCACGGGGACCTCCCTGCTAAACGCTTTTGAAGTTGAGACGAGAACTTTGCCCACCCCAAAATATCAATTCCTGCTATAACTGGAAAACGTGAGTCTAGCGACTTTGTATCCTGGGAGGTTGCGTACAACAACCCGGACGGCACCCAGATCTTGCTCCGCAAGGCCTGGCGAGAGTACTCGTACGATTTTGCTCGAAGCACCTGTGCTGGAAGCCGTCTCGAACTCGCCACCAAACAAGCCAAGATCACAAATTTCGGTGTATTGCTTTCAGATCATCTAGGTTCTAGGGGTGCTGGGTAGGTGACGGCTTAGTTGCACATGCCAGGAAGATCAAGACGAGGAGTTCTTCATTGCGCTCGCCAGATCTGGCAAGAAGGGCCAAGCGAAAAACAAAGGCGGTGAAACTCGCCATTAGTCCAGTTACGCAATTTGTACGCAATGTTCTTTGACCGTGTGCGTGTGTGTGTGTGTGTGTCACATCGTGATGTTTGTTACAGACCTGCTTGTTTGTTGCTTTGTGCAGGTTTGAGTGCATGTTAGCAGCTGCAGCTAGCCGACACACTACGAGTGAAGCATACGATTAGGCCAGGACAGGAAGGTACGTAGCTTAACACTTGACAATGAAAGTCCTACAATGCAACGGGCTAGAATAGACATATTTATTACTCGTAGCCTGAGTTGTCACTGCGTCAGGGCTTTCACCAAGATTGCGGATGTTGAGGTTTAAGGACAACATGCCAGGATGATGAGTTAATCTTGTTTTAATAGATAACAGGACAATAATAAAAGAGTAGAGAATGCAAAAAGGCTGCGCGTAGAATTTCCTATGTCAAAATTTTAGGTCCGGTCACGTGGAGAATCGTGGAGACAAGGGTGGAGGGAGGGGGGGGGGGGG